TTCAGACATTTTTCCGTTCTCTTGAGATCACGAGTTCGTTACTTCGTTATGTCGAGATAACGAGTTAATTGAATTTGTTATCTTGAGAAAACAACAGACTGTTTTCTGTCTGTCTGTCTGTTCCCGAGAGCCTCTCCCTGCTGATAATTGAGTGATTATTGAGAACGCTCTGATTGATCAATGTCATTAACAGTTAGCAGGCGGTTGGCTCGTTCAGTGCTCGTCAGTTAAGGCTCCAGCGTGAAACACTGAGGACCTTCTGCTGTCAGACATGGAGTATAACAGTGGAGTGAAGATTTACCGACCGGTTTGAGGTGATCGGTACGTGGACCCCTGGATGGATCTAAATGTAGAGTCCTGAATCTGTTGACTGAAGCTTTGCTGCTCACAGCATCTCCAGGTTGTGTAAATGGTGCTTTTATTTTGGTAAGTCCATTGTGCATTATTTGCAATATGTCTGAATTCACGACCGTTTAAAGCTTCCGTGCGTTTGTGGAAAGAGCGGGAAAACTGGCCGATGCCTCATTTTAATTCTTGAGAAACACTGATTGTTATTTTAATGGTCGCCATAGAAACTCTGTGTCCCCTGTGATGATGTAATCAGACCGTGAGCTCACGTTCTGACCTGAAATTTGAATTCTTTTAACTTTCTGAACGAATCAGTTTCTAAATACTACAATACCCATGAGCCTCAGCTGCTGTTGCTATGGAGAGGAAGACAACCTCCCCATCACCTGTCTAACCCCCTGCCAACCTGTCTAACACAACCTACCTGTCTGACCACCTGATTGTAAGAATTCTTTTAATGGTTCCAGCTTCGTACAGAACGACGAGCCCAACTCTTGATCTTCTCCCATCATGCCTCGGGTGTCGTTCGCCCCTCCCTCGCTGTGCGTCACCTTCCTCCTTCTGCTGGCCCGCCTCCTCCCCTCCCTCCCCCCCACCGTCCGAGACGTGGACGTCCCCCCGTTGTTTCGGGAGCGGTTCATCCTGTCTGGGTACCGCCCCGTGGGCCTCTCGTGGCGCTCGTACGTCCTCAGCCTCTTCCAGATCCACAACGAGACCCTGAACGTGTGGAGCCACCTGCTGGCCGCCGTCTGCGTGGTGACGAGGTTCCTGGCGTTCACCGTCCTGCAGGGAGGGGTACTGGACTCTGACAGTCCCGTTTCATCTCCTGGTGTCTGAAAGCTTTGTGTCTGACCTCCCGCTGTCTGACCTTTGACCTCCGCAGGGGCTCCTGGGTGTTCGGCTGCAGGGTCCTGAGGGTCAGGGGTTTTCTGTGGACGTCTCCTCGCTGCCTCTGGTCCTCTACGTTGTCTCTGCCATCACATACCTGAGCTGCAGGTGAACCATGAGATCAGCGTCTGACAGCACCCAGTGTATTAAATACTGTATAGAAATATATTTATTATTATTGATTAGATATTGATTGATGCTGTAACTGATGACCTCAGCTGCATGTTGCAGTGCTGCGGCCCACCTGCTGCAGTCCCACTCGGAGGAGGCGCATTACTCGCTGTTCTTCCTGGACTACGTGGGCGTGGCCGTCTACCAGTACGGCTGCGCTCTGGCTCTGTGCCTGTACAGCTCCGACGCCGCCTGGACACAAAGCATGCTGGGACAGGTCTGTTGTTGCGTGTTACGTCCGTCCTCAGCGAACGATGCGTTCAGATGCGCTGATGATGTCGTTTCTGGCAGATCTTCCTCCCGGCCGCCGCCCTCCTCGCCTGGTTCTCCTGCGCCGCCTCCTGTTACGCCAAGCTTCGTTTCCGGAGGCCGTACCCGCTGCACAGGAAGCTCTGCCAGGTGGTGCCGATGGGCGTGGCCTACCTGCTGGACATCAGCCCCATCGCCCACCGTCTGTCCACCTGCAGCTGGACCGGCAACCCCGCACTGCCGCTGCACTTCCTGCAGGTCTAAAATACACAATACAGACAGAGAATATATAAGAAAAGTGATCTCTGATCAATATTCAGGAAATAATCAATCAGCACTTGTGCTAAGCTAATCAATGTTGAAAAGACAACAACATTTTGAAGATAACTAAAAGATAAGAGACATATTTATAGTCCCATCGCTAACTAATTATCTGTGGTAATCTTTTCAACATAGATTAGCTTAGCATATAGCATAAGGATTTTGATGGTTAAAATATAAAACATTCTCACAGCTTTCGTTTGCTAATTTTATATTATTTATATTAGCTAACTAATTGTTATCGAACTGTAACAGCTGATGTAGATTAGCGTTAGCTGCTAACTGTTTATTATTGGAGTGGTTTTAATGTTTATATTGTTGATTGTTGAATTCCTCCACCAGGTGGTGCTGTTTCTGCTGTCGGCCTTCTTCTTCTCCTGTCCCATACCTGAGCGCTTCTCCCCGGGCAGCTTCGACCTCTTTGGCCACGCCCACCAGCTCTTCCACGTCCTGCTGTCCTTCTGCACGCTCGCCCAGCAGGAGGCGCTGTTCCAGGACTTCCTGTGGCGGCGGCCGGCGCTGGTCAGGGAGTTCGGAGAGGAGCGCCTCCTGCTGGCCTGCGCCTCCTTCCCCTGCCTGACGCTCTGCTGCACGATGACGGCACTCGCCATGAGGAGGCGGGCTCGAGCTCAGCTGCTCAAAGAGCAAACATAGAAGAAGAAGAAGAAGAAG